ATACCATAAAATTTTGCATAACCCTAGCCTAACCCGAACTGAGACGAGTTTGTTCGATAGATAACGATGACATTTGTGTGTGATGGTTTATGGTGGTGTGCTCTCTCCCTTTTACAAAATTGAGTATCCCTTAGGATACATTCCAAAAGATCACCCTCAACATTATAAACACTACTAAAATATGCTACTCTTTCAATGTGGGACTTTAAGAAACTTTTTCAAATTCACACTATCGCACACTAGTTTATACTCATGTTTATTTCTTACCAATTTAAATCAACTACTCATTCAATTTTCAACAATCCGATTCTTGAATTTAAGAAGTATTTTCAGAAGTGACGTTACATGTTTTTAAGATTGTGCATAAACAAAGGTGTCTACAACTTGAACCTTTACATAAAAGGTAGGATTCTAACTTAACAAAAGAGACTGGTAGTCTTGAATTCTATCTTGGACGTCAAACATGCACACGACCTTTTATGAGGATGTATTCTATAAGCACATGCTTTAATGGACCTCCATGATCTATTCATGTTTACTGAAGAATTTAGTAACTCTGCCACGGATTTTCACATGAACATACATAAATTCCACAATCCACATGTTAGTATATCAAGAGTGCTCATATAGCTTGATACTCCAGTCATACATTCATTGTTCCGTGTTAGTTAAAGACCCGATGGGTTTGTGGGGTCAGTCGGTAATCCTAAAAGCATACTCAAGTGTTACATATAGTATCAGAGCAGACGTCTCCCAGTACAATGTGGATCGGGGACGAACCAATCAGAAGCTGGTGGACATGTAACGCTCGAGGCCGATGAGGTAGGAAATCGTCAACGCACAATGCATGGCAATGAGCGGCTCCTAGCAGCTTCTAGTCAAAAAGTGAGTTCACATCGAAATGAGAGAGATATTGATGTTGTGCAAGTATGAGACTCCATGTTTGAAGGAAGACTTATAAGGATTGACTGATACTACCTATATCAACATGATGCATCTTCTTTTCGGTAGCCTAACAAATAAGAACCTATAGTTAATCGTGCTTGACTTTGAGTAGTATTTGAATGGGCGACCTTCTAGGAAGTTTCCCAAAAAGCGCGTGAGTGAGGGAAAAGCATGCTGAAAAGACTCGTGTGGGTTTGTGAGGTTAGTCGGTAATCCTGAAAGCAGTCTGGGACATTATAAAAGGCATTTTAACATCCATTTGTGTAAGTACCCAATTTTGAGTGACTGAAATGACAAGAAAAGTTCGAACATGGGTGATGCGTGCAACATGAGCAAATGTTCCTTCATAATCAATACTATACTCTTGAGTGAAACCTTCTGCCACTAGACAAGCTTTGTATCCTCGATAGATCCATCATAAAAAGTCTTAATTTTATATAGTCAGATGCATCCTACAAAAGGCTTATCAGAAAAAGGTTCAACAAGGTCCCATGTGTGGCTTCTCTCAAATTCCTGCACATCCCCATGCATAGCTTGCTGCCAATGTGGATCTGTAGAGGCTTCCTTATAGGATTGGGGTTCATGAAGGTTAAGCTTAGTAGAAAACAATGGTAATAACAAAGATATGAAAGAGGATTTCTTACACTTGGCGGAATCTCATTGGTTGTAGGTGTAGGAACAACAGCTGAAACATCATCACTAGAAGTGGATGGGACATCAGAAGGGGTTGAAAGCTCACTAGAAGAACCTGTATATGTGTCACTAGGAAAGTAATCGACATCAAAGTTAGTAAAGAGAGGAATGAAAGCGGACACGATTGAGGTAAATTTTGACAGGAGGAAAACATTGTGTGTTCCCAAAATATAACATGGAGAGAGATGTGGTTGTGCTAAGATATTGGGTCCCAACATCTATGATCCTTGTGTTTAGTTCCATAACTAAGAAAACACCATAGACGGACACAAGGTTCAAGTTTAGTATATTCATAGGGCTGAAGGAGGATAAAATAAGCACAACTAAACACTTTAAGTGACTTGTAATCTGGTGTAGTAAGATAAAGACTCTCAAAAGGGGAGACATTACCAAAGACAGAAGAAGGGAGGCAATTTATGATATGGACAAAAGTAAGAGATGTTTCACCCCAAGTGCCTTCTAGATAAGAGGATGATATAAACATGGCATGTATTGAGCTAAGAATGTGACAATGGTTTCTCTCAGGATGACCATTCTAGTGAGACGTGTACGGATAGGAAAACTCAAATAAGGCACCCTGCTCACCAAGACAAGAGTTTAGAGTCACGATATTCCATTGCATTATCTCGTCGAAATTTTTTAATGGCTTTAGAAAATTGTGTTTGAATCATTTTGGCCAAGTTAATGTAAATTTGAGGAAGCTCATGCCGATTTCTCATCATGTATATCGAAGTAAACTGAGAATAATCATCAACAAATAATACATAATATCGAGAACCTCCCATAATAGGTGTTAGAGGGTACAAATATGTGAATCAAAATTAGAGGGTACAATGAGTTGACGTTTATTGCTAGTAGTTCTAAGCATAAAATCTGATAGATGTCCTGATCTAAGATGCCATAGTTAGGCATCGTCACTACTTGAAACTACATTACAAGAGCTAAATGTATTACAAGAATTATGTGATACAACATGAATCTTGGTGTTGTTTGCTCTGAGAATGTACAAGGCTGACAGGATATCACTCTTGCCAATCATCTTGGATTGCTTGGTGTCTTGAATGAAAAAATGATCCTTGTCAAAGATAAGTTTTATGTGATTAAAGGCAAGTAACTTAGCTACTAAAATCAGATTGACACAAAAAGTTGGAATGAATAAGACATCCATAAGGGTCAAGTCCTCATTGACAATAACTTTCCCTATGGCTTGAACAGGTATTTGATTTCCACTAGGAAGAATAACAAATTTAGCTATCAAAGGTGTGTATGACTAAAAAAATGAGATATTACAACAAATATGAGAAATGACACCTAAGTCTATGATCCAATTGTTAGAGGATTATGATTTATGAGAGTCAAGAATGGAAAAACTCATACTTATGACTAAGTTAACAAATGTAGTAGCTTCAGAACTCCCTGCTTTGGACATTTGAGTCTGAAGGTATTGAATGATCTGTTGGAATTTCTGTGAAGTCATAACTTCCATATCAGGAACTAACTCATTGCTTGTGTTGCCATGATCATGAACATAATTGCTTTGTTGGGATGAATTGTAAGCTTGAGTCTTCTTGTATCCAAGAAGGTAGCCATGATGCTTGAAACATTTTTCTTTAAAGTGACCAATGATTCCTTAGTGACCATAAATTGTTCTATCCTTTTTGAAGTTCTTTGGATTCCCTTGCACATCACATGCGATAGGTGTTTCAATGTGGGGCATGGTGGTGGTTATTTCTATTTGTTTCTCATCTTGAGTAACCATTTAAAGAATAACCTTTATTGAAGGCAAAGGATCCATAAGCAAGATTTGACCACGAACCTAATTGAAAGCTTCAGTCAAGCCCATCAAGAATGTGAGGATATGTTCATTCTGTAGGTGATCAACAATGGATTGCATTCCACCACAATGACAAGTGTGCATAGTTCGATATTCTCCTAGTTCTTCCCACAATGATTTGAATTGTGTGTAGTAAGCACTTACAGTTGAAGAACCTTGAGTGTAGCTTAGCAAACTCCTCTTTAGTTGAAACACACGAGGGCCATTCTTTCGCTAAATCGTTCTTGAAGATCTTTCCATATTTCTGCTGCATTTGCTGCATAGATCACACTTGCAAAGAATTTTTTTGACACCGAATTAAGAAGCCATGATGAAACTGTGTTGTTGTTTCGCATCCAAGAGCAAAATTGAGGAGAATTTTTTTTCTGGTTTTGGAATCGTGTCATCCACAAAACCAGTTTGCTCTTGCCATAAAGAGCCATGATCATCGCCCGTCGCCATGAATTGAAGTTGTCTCCGGTGAGTGGTTGAGAAACCAAGATTATGCTGGGGTGATCAGAGGAATATAGGTAATAAAGATCATCATGATTAGTCATGAAAGCAAATGATCGAGAGAGAAAGGAAAAGATGAAGGGAACCACAAGCGTAAATTGGAAGCGAAACAAAGAATTTCAACTAATACCATATTCTAGTAAGGGACTTGCATGGAATGTGCACGGTGAGAAATACAAAAAATGGAGAAGATAATGAATGCAATTCATTGATTATCATGGGCTGCTTCCACTTATATAGGGGCAGAAGCAATACAAGGAAAAATAGTTACAAGGCTATAACAAAATTAGTTAGTTAGTTACATTACAACAAGCAACTAACTCTCACTTAAACAGTAGTAAAACTCTTAATATTTCTCTTCATTTCATATACTCTCCTTACTACAAAACTACCGATCTTTTCTATACATGCTCAAACCATATAAGTTTATTTTCCGACATCTTCTCCACCATATGCACTACATGACACTCTCTCTAATATTTTTATTTTCAATTTTATTCTATTGAATCTTAGCGTACATCTGCTGCAACATTTTCATCTCTAATACACTTACTTTATTTTCCTATTAATTTTTAATAACCCAATAATGTATCTTGTAAAAATCATAGATCTTATCACAGTTGGATAAAACTTTCTCTTTCAATTTGAGGGATATGTTTGCATCACATAAAACATTTGATGTTTTACAATAATAATAATAATAATAATAATAATAATAAATAATAAATAAAGTGGTCAAATAAAATGCTGAATATCCAAATGTGTCGCTATCACTATCGCTCTTGATTTTTTTAGTTTAAAAAATAAATAAATATTTCTTCATTCATTTGGTTCATATTACTAAAAATAAATAAATTAGAAGAAAAAAAAAGATGAAAATGGGGGAAACCCCCGTTCAATCAACTGGTGGCGCTGTTCACTCCACGTAAACCCTATTCCAATGCTCTTCAACCTAAACCCCCATTTCAACCACCGCCACCGCCACCTTAACCGTCGTCGACATTGAGCATGATCTTCCCTCACTCTCTTCCTGATCATGCTAATGCCCTCTCTGCGATCCACTCGCAGATTCTGCAACAATTTCTCTTCCTCTTCCGCCGCCAATTTCAAAACCCTTAAACCCTTACAACTACCAGTTCTCGATAATCTCAAATCCGAGTGGGACCCACACAAACTCTTCCATCTCTTCAAAGCCAATGCCACCAACCGTCTCCTCATCGAAGACCGCTTCGCTTTCTACGACACCGTCTCCAGGCTCGCCGGTGCTAAGCGCTTCGACTACATCGAGCAATTACTCGAACAACAGAAAACCCTACCTCAGTCTCGCCGTGAAGGTTTCGTTGTTAGGATTATCGCCTTGTATGGCAAGGCTGGTATGATTACACACGCTCTTGATACTTTTAATCAAATGCATAGTTTTAAATGTCGTAGAACTGTTAAGTCTTTCAATGCTATTCTTAATGTTTTGGCTTCGAGTCGGAATTTCGATGAGGTTGTGAAGTTTTTAGATGAGGTTCCTTCTAGGTTTAATATTAAGTTAGATGTTTATTCTGTTAACATTGCTGTTAAGGCTTTTTGTGAAAATGAAAAGCTTCAAGAGGCTTATTTGTTTATGTTGGATTGTGAGAATAATAAAGGTGTTAAGCCGGATGTTGTTACTTATACGACTCTTATCTCTGCGTTTTATGAGGTTAAGAGTTGGGAAATTGGTAATGGATTGTGGAACCGAATGGTGTTGAAGGGTTGTATGCCAAATCTTCATACTTTTAATGTTCGGATTCAGTTTTTAGTTACAGTTAGGCGGGCTTGGGATGCTAAAGCTCTGATGGGTTTGATGCAAAGAGTTGGGGTTATGCCGGATGAGGTTACATTAGTTTTGGTTATCAAGGGTTTTTTTCTGGCTGGTTATCCTGAGATGGCGATGAGGGTTTTTTCGACGTTGAACAGGAAGGGTTATAAGACTAGTGCTAATATTTACCAGACGATGATTCATTATTTGTGTAAGAGAGAGGATTTTGTTCAGGCTTACACCATGTGCGAAGATAGTATGCGAAAAAATTGGTTTCCGAATGTAGGTACTATCTTTATGCTGCTGGAAGGCTTAAAGAGATTTGGGGAGATTGATAAAGCAAAGGAGATTGTTGTGTTGGCTGAGAGCAGAAAACCTCCTTTCTATTCCAGTTATTTGGCTTCAATGCAGTCCTTATTGTTAGGGCATTAAAGATAGTGGAATAGGGAAATTAGTTGAGTTTATTTAGTGGGCCAGCAGCTCTGATGGATCTGATATTCTTTGCATTCCATTCATTTGTACATCTTGAAAATTTATGTAACAAGCCTGAAAATTTGATGGCATCTCATTTATACAAGCTGTTAAACATCTGGTTTTTCCACTCGTTAGCTCATTGTACCTCCCCGAATAATATTTTGGCTAAGATGGTATTTCAGAAGGAAAATACTACCGGTAAACTCTTGTAAGTTGTCAAATACTCTTCCTTTCAACATTATTTCCCTCTGCCACACACACATTCCGTTTTTCTTATATTACTTACATTGTAGAGAAATTCTGCATGGTTATGAAGGTTCTACATGCTATTCTGTTCCATGTCTTTCATTTAAAATTAGTCTTTCTGTCCCTTGATTTATTTGTGAATCGTTTTATTTGATTAATAGTAATAAATCAAATATTCATTACTTTTATTTGATTAATAGTAATAAATCAAATATTCATTACATTTGCAATGACTGAAATTTTTTGGGTGGTTATCTGGTGTTCAAGGCGGCACTTGCGTATTTTGCAAAATTAATTGTTCTGTTTTAGAGAAAAATAATATTTTCATGTATGAATGCTTGAATAGATGTCATTATATAAATGCAATGTAGTCATAGTTGTTTGTTTTAAGACACTTATGATGTACCAAATGATTTCTGAATCATGGTGGAAAATACAATATGCATTTTTAATAAGTAAAGTTTTGTTTATATTGGATATTAGCGTTCATATATAAACCTGGGTAACATTTTGTTATTCAATTCCTTGCATGCAAAATTACTTTTTTTAGGATATTCATGCTGGTTTAGTTTTCTTTAATATTGTTTGGTGATATGCTCATGGTTAACTTTTAGCTTCAATACTCCCTCATTCTTGAAATGTCACCCATTATGACTGTTCAAACCCATTTTTATATGAATAATTAATCGTCTAAATTAGTTGTTGGATGATGTATAGATTTAAGGATTGGTGTTTTAAAAGCTCGGTAGAATGTGAAGTTAAATTAAACTTGATCCCTATACCTATTTGTCATTGAAGTGGAAAAGAAAAAGCGTCATCTGGAAATTTTGAAGTATTTTGATTTGCAATCTGGGTCTTTTGTAGTGAAGAGCAGATGTCTTGATGTACAATGAGCACCCTTTTCAGATTTTGAGGATGTCCGAAGGGCTTCTTTCAGCACTGTATAAAGTATGCAATCTGGGTCTTCTTTTTTTATTTTTTTATTTTACAGAGATGGGTTTCTGCTATTGGATACAGATCTTATTTTTATACGCGTAGGATTGAAGCTGGACCGTAGCTAAATGTCTACCTGGTTTGAAGATATCACAATATTGTTCAGGTTTCCAATCAAAGTTGAAGGAAATAATCTATTTATCAGGGAGCTAAGTTTGGTTTAACTGTATTGAAGAAGTTGCATCAGCCTTTTGCTTTAAAAAGCGCAAACTATTGTGAAGGGTGCGTGAGGGACAAAGGAATAAGAAAGGAGAACATTATTGCATTGGAAGGCAAAATTGAGCAGAAATATGCTATCCATAGGCATGAAATGTTCAGGACATGATCATGGTAACATTGCTGTTTCACACGGATATGATGATGTGTTGACTTTCCGATGATTATTTGCATTGACAATAATTATGGAGATAAAGAGCATTTACAGAAACAGTAAAGCTACACGCTGCTAGAAAAAAAATTACTCTACCAGAATTTTGATAGAATAGTAGGTTGGTGAGGTTGCCGGGTGTATAATAGAGTGGCAAGGAACATACCTATCACTTTGTGTTGGCAAAATGATTCCTAGGATTTTTTGTTTTTGTTTTTCTAGCATTCTTTTCTGATAGAAGAAACATAGGAAGCTCAATTCGATTCCTCTTTGAAAAGCCATGAAAGCATACAAGATTCTAATTTTTTTTTGTCTTTCAAGTAATATGAAGACATGAAAGCATACAAAGTTGAACAGTTATTGCTTATCCATATTTAATCTCTCTTATTTTGTCATCATGATTCCTTGTGGTTTTGGTTTACCCAAGTCCTTTGAGATTTTAAAAAGTTTCTTAATTGGGTCAGTTTTATGTACTGGGTTTAAGTTATTTATTCAACGAATTTATTTTAGTGTAAAAAACAGTCACTAAAAAACAATATCTAAATTAATCCCTTACTTTTATTATGTGTATGCTTGGTTTAGCATTTTTGGAAGAGGTAAAAGTATAGGTGTTTGGTTCTTCTAATATTGTCTTCAGAATTGAATCTTTCTGAAGTTGGAATTTATAGTTTTTGAGTTTAAATATGATTTTTATACTTTAATTTATTTTCAATTCACTTTCATATAAATGTATCAAAACTCAAATCATTTTGTTAGTATTGCTAGTATTAATGCTACAAAATTATTTCACTTGGAATCAATTTTTGTAAATGAAAACCCCAACACATTAGAATCAATTTTTGTAAATGCAAAACCCAACACATTATATAGAGGTTAGATGATGACAATTTATAGAGGGGGGCAAATTAATCTCACTAATTTTGATCAATAAGTTTCTAATAATTATTTATACTTTTTCAATTTCTCATCGATAAAACGATCTACAGAGTCCTCATGCGTTATAATCTTATAGGTAATGTATTTCATATCTTTATCAACTATATAACTAGTACAAAATATTTCTCATTCACTAAAACTCTCGCATATGGCACACTGGTTATTTTGTATAGACAACTCTATTCAACCATTCTCTTCAAACATTTTCTCTTTTTTTTTCATCATGTACTATTCCGATTTCATTTCCTCTGTTTTCAGATTTAACACAAACACATTGCTCAGCTTCAACAAAGATATGTTCATAATGACTGCTTTATAAAGGGTTGATTATGTTTTTCTGGTTTGTTTGCCGTGCCTTTTTGTTATATATAGTTTTACTAATATATGTCTTAAGTGTTTAGATCATATTCAGTTTTTAAGTAATGCTACTTATATGTTTTTAGTTGAAGCCTGTTGAATTCTTACAAATGCCTGCCCATATACTTCAATATATGTTGTTTGTATTAGTCTTTTCTCCATAACAGTTAATATGTTTAATGTTTTTTATTTTTCTTGAGTTATGAGTTTGTACGAAAAGAAAAAAAATATTTTTGATAAACTTCTTTGCTTGTTCTATTTTCGCCCATCCGTTTACATTTCAAATATTTGATAAATTATCTTTTAGTCTTTGAGAATCAATTTGATTTTATGTTTAGAAAGTCGATCATAGAAGTGATTTACCAATTACAGCGTGTGATGGAGCAGTATCAGATGGATCAACAAGATGTGCACTTTATTTTTATTAACTTGGAGAAGACATATGATAGAATGCTTAGAGAAATTTTATAGAAAGCCCTAAAGAAAAAATGAGTTAGGATTATATATATTCAAGCTATCCAAGATATGTATGAAGGGGTATCGACTAGTGTGCAGACATAAAGTGGATAGATAGACGTTTTTTCCCATTACAATTGATTGACATCAAGGTTTAACCCTAAGCATCTACCTTTTTTATCTTCATTTTAGATATACTCACGGAATACATCAAGAGATAGCACAAATATGCATGTTTTTGTTTTGTTTTGCAAATGATATAATTCTTCTTAGAGAATCGAAAGAGGATTTAAATGAGAGGCTGAAAACTTAGAGACGAGTTTTAGAAATATATGGTTTTCGCCTAAGTAGAAGTACGATAGAGTATGAAATATAAGTTCAACAAAAGAAGAAGCGTTTTTAACCTAGAGATGAAAGTTAGAGACCATATTATTCCTCAAGTAACATGGTTTAAATATCTTGGGTCTATAATACAAAATGATGAAAAAATATAAGGGGATGTAAATCATCGAATTCAATCTGGGTGGTTGAAATGGAAAAGGAAGTGTTTTAAAAATCGGATCGGCCGGTTCGACTAGTCGAACTGGGAACCGAATAGGTAATCTGTCAGGTCCAATTGTTGAGTCGGTTACGTTATTGAACCGATGGGAATCGGTAAAAACTGGTGTAAACCGGAAAAAAAAATAAAAAAACCAGCGATTTAATTGCTTTCGTTTTTTTCTTTAAAAAAAAATCAAATTCAGATATACAATTTTGTTATTTTAATTTATTATTAAATGTCAATTGTTAAAATCTCTAAATTGATATTGTTATAGATCAATTAAATTTGGAAGAGCCCCACATTGAATTAATTTTTCCTCCTTGGAATTAAATTTATTAGAGATTGAAGTTAGTGATAAACTGTGCAATTAGACTTTGTTTGCAACTAGACTTTGCTCAAATTTTATTTTGATTTTTATTTTGTGGTATTTTGTTTTGTGTAATAACTATGTTTAAAATTTGAATTTAAATAATAAATTTGCGAAATTATGATATTTTTAAATTTTTTAGGTGCTAGTGAATTTTTTTAGACCAAGTCATCTGGCTCAACTGGTTTAATACCTATATAGTTTTGTTATAGCGACAAATTTATTCAACTGAGTTTTACAGTTTTATCCGGTTTAGTCATATGGTTCGACCAGTGGCCAAGTGGTTCGATCAATGAATCAGTGACCCAATACTCTCATCGGTTCGTTGACCGGTCTGATTTTTAATACATTGGGAAAAGGGAATAATTTGTTTTATGTGATGGAAAAGTATAGCTTAAGTTGAAGGGAAAGTTTTATCGGTCTGCGGCAAGACTTGTGATATAGAATGTTGGTCGGTTAAAAATCAACACGAGAATAAAGTAAGGATAGCAGAGATGAGAATGTTGCAGTTGATGTGTGGTAAGACTCGACATGATAGAATTATAAATGAAAATATTTGAAAGAGTGTTTGGGTAGCGCCTATAGTGGAGAAGATGGTAAAAAATAGAGTTAGGTGGTTAGAGCATGTAGAGAGAAGACTAGTAGATTCTGTAATAAAGATAGTAAATTAAATGGAGAGAAGACAAACAATTAGA